GGGTGATGTTAGCATTTGGGGATTAGGTGATTGAAGACAGAGGAAGCTGCAGGCAAAAGGAGTAAGGGAAGGAGGGGGACAAATGACAAAAACTTTGAAGTTGCTCCAAGAAGAAAGGAGTGAAATACAGGAAGGAAAAAACAATAGCAGGACAGGAGACAGTAACAGAAACAGTGAAAAAAAATCTGTCTTCCTTCAACTTGCAGGCAGATCAGATGGCGCTGATGGAAGCTATTGTATCTTCCTTGGAATCTGCCAAAAAAGGGCATCTGAAAAGAGACATGGAGCGAAGAAAAAGGAGTGTCTCCAGTCCCTCCCTTCCTGCCTAGCCATATGCCCCACCTGCCTCCGCAATATATTCTTGCTGTAAAGTCCATAATTCAGGGCTATCTAGGGGTATCAAAAACAGCATGATTGGTGCCTCAGTTAAGCACCTATAAAAGGGGTAGAGCTTTGATTATAAAGTGGTAGCCACCACCTTGGCCTTTTTTATTGCCGTCTGGCTTTGTAGCTGCAGAATCAACACATTTTATCTCCAAACAATCAGCAGGTAGTTTTTGTAGGTAATTCAGTAATTTAGTTACAGTGATGCTTGGCTGGTCTGAAAAACAATAAAGACACACCCCATACGGTTAAAAAAAAGGGGGGGGAAGTATAATTTGTGTTTTTTCCATATATGAAAGGGCTTATTGTTCTGCACATTATGCAATCCTACTCAAGATTCATGTACTGGATCAGACTAGCCAAACTGTAGCTCTATAAGGGTCATTATAAGGTCAGGAACAGACCCCAGATTTGAACCTGTTTTATGTGCTACATCATAAGGAAGTTATCTTTTTTCTCATTAGTTTGACTTTTTTTTAACAGGCATACTACTGAAAGCTCTACATTTCATCTTTATTGGAAGTTCATAATGAAAGTGAGGAAAACAAATGTTTTGTAATACTAAATGGATAACATACTAAATAAACATACTTTTCTTGTTGAGGAATGCAATGTGTAGAAAGAACAATAGTGAAATATTAAAGTTTAGGTTTAAGATGATATTGAGCACTTGCTCAAAATTTTCTTCCCTGATCATTTTTTTCAGTTCAAGTTCTTTTGGTGATTGGAACATATTTGCACACATTATTAACACAATCCATTAATTTTACCTGGCTTTTTATTCCTTAAATTTTTCATATCCCTTTTTTCATTTCTCATTAACTCCATCCATATTTTTCTCAGCTTGCCCCCTTCCTCTTAAACCATTTCTTCTTCCTTCTGTATTTGTTCTGCAATTCAGTCCTTCTTTCCCCGTTTGATCAAATCACCTCCTTTTTCAGGGGCCATGTTTTGATACAATCCACATTCATTTAGACCAGGGGTAGACAATCTGGTTCTTTTATGATTCAGGAATTCTGGGAGTTGAAGTCCACGAGTCATAAAAGAGCCAAGGTTGCCTACCCAATTTAGACTCTACTTGATACTGTCTCATTGTTTCCACTCATCCCACCTCATTCAAAATTTATTGTATGTCTCTTCACACCCCAAACTCTCACTTCCTCAGGAGTACAGAAATGTTCACACAGCTGTTTCACCTATAGCTAAATCAATGTTTTATTGCCATCCAAAGGAAAGGCCAGGAGAACAGACTGCTTTAGGTATGGAGGTTCAGCTGCAGGATGGTGGGACACTCTGAATTAATGACTTTGGGAGGTAAACAGCCAGGAGAAAACTCAGACATTATTGTCAATACCTGAGATAAGAAATGGGAGAAGCCACCATAGTAAAGGAAAAGGACTCCCGCTAGAGGGAGGTAAGTTTAAGTAGGTTAAGGCTTAATTTCTTATATTTTCTCTCCTATTCTGGAAACAATACTCTACTTCTGTATATTAGAACTTCATACTATTGCATCAGAACAGAAATCAGTGCCAGAATAAAACCCCTCATTTGTGGGGTTATTGGTGCTCTCTGAGTTTGTTTTTTTGCAGATGTTTCATTACCCAAACTAGGTAACATCATCAGTGTTAACATCTACAAGAAAACAAGCAAACTCACAGAGCACCATGGATCCCTCATGTCAACCTGAGCTACAAATATTTTCCTTTATTAATCCCTCATTTGTTTAACTACTCTCTTTCTCTCGGTATATCTGTATCTGCTCCTATCCTAAGTCACGTTCCAACATACTGAAACACAATAGAATACTCAATAAAAAACTATTTTAAAGGCACAGAAGATGCTGGAAGTTGGGCTTAGTTGTATCTTCCTATCATAAGACTGCTCACAATTAGAAGTCACATGAAAAAAGAGCCACCACCAGGAAAAAGAAATCTTAGTCCCATTGAAATGTGTGGGAACATTTAATTAAAATGAATATAAGATTAAGTGTATGTGAAAACAGCTCCATGCAATTTTGAGTTAAGACCACTAACATTTGATTCAAGGATGCAAACACTTTTAATCTAAGCCAAATTCAAGTCATTTAAAAGCAATGTGTATTTTAAATGGTCTGATTTATTAGAAATATCCACAAATATGCTAGCCTTTTTTCTGAATGTATTTTCTTTACCAGAAGCAACAACATGTAAAAGAATTTTTTTTATTAAAAACAAAATCAAGATTCGGAACAAAAATATCACAGTACATTAATATTGTACAATAGCTATGGTGGCACAAGTTACAGAAATTTGAAAAGGCACTTTAAAAGTTTACAATAAAAAAGGATAAACTAAAATCTTCTCTTCTTCAACAAAGAATGCAGCATTTTAATTGAGACACTACATGTGCCACTTGTTACAATTCTTCATACAAGTACTATGAATTGTAACAGGACCCACTTCTACCAGTAGAAAGTGCCATTAAAGAAACACCTTCTATTATAAATTTTACATACGCAAATACTTTTGAGAAATTCTGTTATAGTTGTGAATTACTGAAATCTTGCCAATGTTAACTATGATTTCACATATTACAATGATTAGAAACTAACCTCAGCAATATATAGCCTAAATAAGGAAACAGAAGCAGCTCGAGGCAAGCAGGCAAACAGCCTTCAGCAAAATAATACTATGATTCCATAATACAGCACAGGGATAGAGAGAGGTATTCTTTGTGAGACCATATGTGGAAGTAAAACCATAGACTGAGTCATGCTGTGATAAAAACTGAAGCTTGCTGAAATAAGATATCTCTTATCGGTAGGAATAAGGGGGGCAAACTCTTTCAGACTTACAGGTCATCCTCGTCTTACTGGTTGCAAAAAAGTCATAAAATCATATGATGTCCTGCTTTACAACCATCATGACTTGCAATCATAAATGGCAGATTTCATTATGGTTATAAGTTGAGAATTACCTGTATTTACAAAGAGTACAGTAGTGGAGCTGAACATAAGCTGCAGATATCAGCCATTTTCTCTTTCCTATGCACAAAGAAGTATTCCATTATCCACATACATAACTTTTGATTTTCTGATATCCTTTCATTTTTCTGTAACATAATGTAGTCCACTTCTCTCAGATGAGTGCACTTTATCGTGTTGGATTATAATTTACAGTATATCCAGCAAGCATGGCCATAAACCAACATATCTCAAGATTAGTGCTATGGAAAAGACTGATACAACCTATTAATGCAGAGGAGATACTACATTTTTTGAAGAGAAACGTTCCTGTGTAAGTTTACTGTAAAGTCCCCCTTCATTCTGCAAGTATTTTAAATAGAAAAATGGAACTGAAATTGGGAGCTTTAGAAGACACAAAGGTAACAAATATTCTTCAAACACCAAGACTACAATCCTATAACTACGGAAAACTATTAGCAGTAGAAAAAAAACATACACCATGTATGTCTTGGCTGGGTATTTCTGAACAGGGACTATAGTTCTCAGAACTTAACTAATCTCATAATGTTGGCTGGTTTTATGAAGTGCACTGATTTATTTTGGGTTCTGTATCATTTTATTTGGAGCAAAGTTGTTTTCCTTTGGATTGCTTTAACTAAGCAGAGATTGGGAACCATCTCTTTTCTGGGGAGTTAGCCCAGGGTTAGGCTTTCTTCCTTATCAAATTAGTTCCATATTACTATGTAAAGAGTTTTGAAATATTTCCACTTTCGTACAAGTGTCTAGGATGCCAAATGTATTACAGATAATGTTTGTTTCAAGACAGAAATTCATCTCTCTCTCCTTAAGTAGTTGAAAAATTACTTTCAACTGAGAAATGGATTGTTCTGAAATGGCAGCAAAACATCCATTTAAAATGAAATATTATTGTGATATTTCCTCCTTCTAATAGTATGCTCAGGTTAGTGAGACTCTAATCCAGTGGTTCTCAACCTGTGGGTCAGGACCCCATTTGGGGTCGAACAACCATTTCATGGGGGTCGCCAAACAACGCAGTCCACCATTTTTTTCCTCTTTTCCTTAGCTGTGCTACTCCCTTTTATTCTATTGGCTTTTGAAAGCCAATAGAATAGACTCTCTTGAATAGAGTCTAATTCTATTGGCTTTCAAAAGCCAATAGGAATTGTCCAGGCTGTCTCTGCCCTGCTGAGCCCGCCAAAAGTCCCATTCTGCAAACGGTGCTGCACCAGTTGAGTAGTCCTCGACTTACGACCGGTTGGGGGTCGCGGCATTAAAAAGGTTGAGAACCACTGCTCTAATCAAAACAAATACAGCCTAGATCAAAACTATATATATGCCTATAGGAAACAGATTGTCAGTTAGATAAGAAAAATGGTTAATGTGTGGAGGAATGAAATGTCCCATTTAAATAGCCTAGAGCAGGGCTATGCAATTTAATATCCCTCCAGCTGGATTTAAATTCCCAGCAGCCTCTGGATGCTAAGGGCAAGGGATTCTGGGAACTACAGATAAAAGTAGAAGAGGTCACATTATTTATCTTTGTTTGGTCCGAGTCTGGGTCTTCTTTCACAAGAGCACAACGTGCTGTAATATTTTGTTGCAGAACACAGAAAGCTGACAAATGATCCCATTCAATAATCTCCATGCAACAGAGGATACAAAAGATTTTTTAGTATCGTGATAAAATTCCAGTGAAATTCAAATATTTGCACTGAGATACTGAATAGCTGTGCAATGGACAAAAACAAGGGAATTATTGAACAATATGCCCCATTTGTTGCTAAAGAGCTATTTCCCTATTACTTATAAAACATTGTTTCACAGCAGATGTTACTCTTCCCTGAAGTAGAGATTAGCCCATTCTTAATTGATTTTGATGAAATGACAAAATAATTCCACAAATGATTGTTCCTATTTAATCCAATTATATTCTTGATGTTTACTTTTTAAGTTCTTTCTTAGATTCATCCCTACTTTTTTTTTTTTACCAAAAAAAACATATTTTAATTGCTTGAATTTCTTGCACGTCTCAATGCACTGTAAATAAAATTGTCTAAACTGTGGCCCACCCCTCCAAACAGATATGTCGGAATAATATCTTCAGAAATAACTCCTTGTGAAAAAGGCAGTTTGAAGAGGCTTCCACAGAGACACAGAGCAAAAGTCCATTTAATAGGAAGCCTTTGGAGGATCCATATATGCTGGATTATAAGGGGGTTGAGCTGAAGGAGCTGAGGCACCAGCTGTAAAAGAAACAAACAGACAAGCACAGCAGGTTAGTGGCTGTCCACAATTTACCTTTTTATAATTATTTCTGCATATTTTTTAGATTTTCATCACAAGGGCTAGTGTCCATATAGTTATGAAATCAAGAAAGTGTCTATGGAGATTCTCAGTCATCCGGGTATGGTTGTCCCAAAGGTGCTTTTTTCAGAAGGCGAGTGGACTTTGTTTTTTCTTTGAAGACGTTTTGCTTCTCATCCAAGAAGCCTCTTGGATGAGAAGTGAAACATCTTCAAAGAAAAAACAAGAAAGTCCACTCGCCTCCTGAAAAAAGCACCTTTGGGAAATCAAGGAAAGTCTCTAACTTGATCTGTAAGTTCTGAAAATTATATTGCAGAATGAAGCATATTAAAGTGAATTAATGTCCATGGGGAACTTTTGTTCTTCCGTCATAGAAAATAATACAAACACGTTGCTTGGAGCACTCTGTAAGATGTCTGTATGGAAGCCTTATTCCTATAGTAGGAAAAAAAGCCAAAATGTCTTCCTAATCTCCATCTAGCTCTCCTTTTCTATTGAGTTAATTGCCCTCTGTACAACAACACTCCTTCTATAGAGATTGTCTTTGAATTACAACCATTTGTTTAGCAACTGTTTGAAGTTATAACAGCACTGAAAAAGTGACTTACAACTCACCTTTGAATTTAGGACTCTCACAGAATACTCATGTTCACACAATCAAAATTCGGACATTTGGTAACTAGCATGTATTTGTATTGGCTGCAGCATCCTGGGGTCATATGATCACCATTTGTGATCTTCCCAGCCAGTTTCCAACAATGGGGGAAAACATTCACTTAACAACTGTAGTGTTTCACTTAACAACTGTGGCAAAAATCATAAAATCGGATGTGAGTCACTTAACAATAGCCTGCTTAGCAATGGAAATCATGGCCCCTGTTGTGGTCAAAAGTTGAAGACAACTTGCATTTGAAATGTTAGGTTGTTGCTTTTTTCTTTTGCACAACATCTGTATTACCCCATGGAAATTTATAGGTAAAGTGGTCTCTCTCTGGTTTCCTGATGAACGTTGCATAGTAAATGATATTGCTGGGCCTCTTCAAATCCTTGAAGGGGGCTTCGCTTTGATGAAATACAAGCAAAGTACCTCCTTGAAAATCTTTCATAAACCAAAGTTTACTTTACGGCAGTGGTTCTCAACCTTTTTAATGCTGCGACCCCCCCCCAACCGGTCGTAAGTCGAGGACTATTCAACCGGTCGTAAGTCGAGGACTACTCAACTGGTGCAGCACCGTTTGCAGAATGGGACTTTTGGCGGGCTCAGCAGGGCAGAGACAGCCTGGACAATTCCTATTGGCTTTTGAAAGCCAATAGAATTAGACTCTATTTAAGAGAGTCTATTCTATTGGCTTTCAAAAGCCAATAGAATAAAACGGAGTAGCACAGCTAAGGAAAAGGAGGAAAAAATTGGCGGACTGCATTGTTTGGCGACCCCAAATGGGGTCCCGACCCACAGGATGAGAACCACTGCTTTATGGGTAAAGACTAAGAGAAGTCATCCTCTGCAGTGCTGGTCAAAGTCCTTCTAGACTGGGATCTCTCAGCAAACACTGTAGAAAGACTACAGAGTGCACCAAACCAATCCTGCAGCATGAGTCAAAGCAATCTGCCCTAAAGCCTCATCCTCATAAACCAAAGATCTTCCAGGCAGAGAGGCTTCAGTATCTGCTGAATTCTGCACCACATATCTGTTTCTTTTTTCTTTTTAGTACCTCTCTCCCCTCTTGTTTCCTTACCTGCCACAGTTTCCTGGTATGGTGGTGGCCTTATAGGCTGTGTAGGATAGGGCGGAGGGTGCTGGATTGGGTAGGGTGCTGCTGGCATTCCAGGCTGGGGCTGTACCGGCAGTGGATTGTATCCTTGGTATGCTCCTCCAGCATAAGCAACTGGAACCGCAGGCTGTTGAGGGTAAGGCATCTGCATCACAGTTGTGGATGTGGTGACTATAGCTGTAAAACACAAGAAGGGTGTTTAGAAAGGAATCAGTACAGGAGTGTGATCGTTAGGTGTCAGGGCATTTATGTGGTTACTAGAGTAGAATATGACTTGATGGCACTTAACCAATTGATCAATCACAGTGTAATGGTATGTGGGAAAGACCTTAGGAAATTGGGGTGAGATAATAATAACAACAGCAATAATAATAATAATAAAGTTGGAAGGGACCTTGGAGGTCATCTAGTCCAACCCCCTGCTCAGGCAGGAAACCCTATACCATTTCGGACAAATGGCTGTCCAGTCTCTTCTTAAAAACTTCCAATGTTGGAGCATTCACTGCTTCTGGAGGCAGGTTGTTCCACTGATTAATTGTTCTAACTGTCAAGAAGTTTCTCCTTAGTTCTAGGTTGCTTCTCTCCTTGATTAGTTTTCACCCATTGCTTCTTGTCCTGCCTTCAGGCACTTTGGAAAATAGCTTGACTCCCTCTTCTTTGTGGCAGCCCCTGAGATATTGGAACACAGCTATCATGTCCCCCCTCGTCCTTCTCTTTGTTAAACTAGACATACCCAATTCCAGCAACCGTTCCTTATATGTTTTAGTCTCCAGTCCCCTAATCATCTTTGTTGCTCTTTTCTGTACTTTTTCTAGAGTCTCAACATCTTTTTTACATCGTGGTAACCAAAACTGGATGCAATATTCCAAGTGTGGCCTTACCAAGGCATTGTAAAGTGGTATTAACACTTCACGTGATCTTGATTCCATCCCTCTGTTAATACAGCCTAGCACTGTGTTGGCCTTTTTGGCAGCTGCAGCACACTGCTGGCTCATATTTAAGTGATTGTCCACTAGGACTCCGAGGTCCTTCTCACAGTTACTACTATTGAGCAAGGTACCCCCTATACTATACCTGTACATTCGGTTTTTCTTGCCTAAATGCAGAACCTTGCTTTTTTCATCATTGAATTTCATTTTGTTAGATAGTGCCCAGTGTGCAAGTCTGTCCAGATCCTCCTGTATCCTAAGCCTGTCTTCTGGAGTGTTGGCTATTCCTGCCAGCTTGGTGTCGTCTGCAAATTTGATGAGTTCCCCATCTATCCCCTCGTCCAAATCGTTGATGAAGATGTTGAAGAGCACTGGGCCCAGAATAGAGCCCTAGGGCACTCCACTATACAATTCCCTCTATGTAGATGCGGTTCCATTGAGGATCACACATTGAGTACGGTGAAGCGATGATGCCTAGGGAATGATCAGGTAAGAAGCAGCACAGTCTGCAGCTAGATAATGAGCAAAGCAAGAAGCTCAGAAGGGACTTTCTCTACTTTCTTGGGCTGTAAAGACGACAGCAGAAATGTACTTTCAGATTTGCAGATTCTGTTAATGTTTCTTGACAACAAAATAGAATTAGCTTATATGTTTCCTGTCTGGTTTACCTGGTAAGGCTGACTCAGGGCAGGAAGGAAACTCAATATTTCCCTTCTTGTGCTGGTTTTATAACTTGGCCACTATTTTTCAAATATGTTTTGAGCTTTCTCCATAGGCAAGAGGTAGAAAAAGAAACTTATCATTCCTCCCACCAGACATGTTACTTCTGCTAAGAGGCACACCAAGAGAAGATGTCTGATCTTCTAGTATCTTATGCCTCACGCCTGCTGATTTGCCCAGATACTTAGAAACTGTAAGCCAACCTTTCCATCCTTATTCAAGATTACAGTGCCCATAATTCCCTATAAGTATGGTCACTGGAATCTCCCAGCTCCTGGGGATTTCTGAGAATGATAGTCCTAAGCTAAGTAAAGTCACAGTAAGACTGAACTCCCTTAAGTTTGTCACTCGTGCAGAGAACCAAAGAAAACAGCATTTCTGATGGCTGAGGTAAGTGTCCATTCCTGGTTCAGCCTCTGATCTAATGTTAGTTACATTTTAAATAAGTGACTTTTCATCTATTTTAAAGGCAGCATTTTTGGGAAGCATTCTGCTGTGATTGCTTTTCCCCCCAGTGTGCTCAACAACAGCACTCACAGTTTTTCTTAAACAGAGCAACAATTCAGCCAGGGAGGATACTTACGCTGCGGTCTCCTTCTGCAGGCTTTATACAGGCAGCAACATGAGCAGGTGAAGCAGAGAATGATGGCTACTACAAACACGACAAAAATTGAAATGCCGATTGCTATAAATGTCCCACTGAAAAACATAGAGAAGGCAAGTTGTCCAAGTTAAAGGCTTCAGAAAGTAATACATTTAAAACCAAGACCTTTTTGCTAGTCTAAAGGCAAACAAAAATGGCAACCGGGTTAGGATCGAAATGCAGGATTTGTGCATGGCTAATCTCCATCAAGTCAAACTTTCAGAGAGATAGTTTTGTTAGCTTACTACCATGGAGAAGGGGGGGGGGAATCAAGTAGGCAGGCCTAAAGGCACAAAAAGAGTTTCATCTCTTTTAAAAGTATACCACGTAGACATCAAGCATGTTAAAAAAGCGGGAAAAGAGGTGAGGGTCATCTGCGTAATCATATCCACCATTTTGACTTCTTTTTACACCACTTTTTTACTTTTCTTCTGCTACATCAATCAACAACTTTGACGCACCCAGATGTTGCAGACTACAAATCTGATCATCCCCAGCCACTGCACAGGGATTATAGAACATGCTGCCCTAAACAACTGGACAGAACAAGGTTGCCACCTCGGCTATGAGCATCTCCAAAATAAGCCTTGCTAAATTTTCAGTCTACACAGTCACATTTATTTTGTTAAATCTAGACAATATATCTTTTTCAAGAGACCAGAAAACCCTTGGTTAGTTTAAGTCCATGAAGTTAACTTTACCGAAAACAATTATAAAGAAGCAAATAAAGAATTTTACTTCGAGGACTTTATATGCATGACGGACTGAAAAAAAAAGTTAACGAAAATTCAAGGTTACGATTCAGAAATGCTTATTCACAAGATAATATTTATGATTTCCCTTTACAAAAGAAAAACTGCGTTCCAGTGAAGTGTAAACTCCACATGCAAATAAAATCTTCAATGATTTCATCCTGGTCTTAGTCTCTAATTTACTATTTTATTTATTGATTAGATTTTTATCCCTTTATTACTTTATAAGAAACTTAAGCCTAAGACTCTTTCCTCCTCCTATTTTCCCCACATCAACAACCCTGTGAGGTGAGGTGAGCAGAGGGTGACTCAGTAGCCCAAAGTCACCTGGCAGGCTTTTGTGTAGCATGCAAATAAAAGCATGCAGCAGTTCGGTCTATTGTTTAACTAAAATCACAGTCATCTGGTTTAAACACTAGACCAAACTGCTGCATGCTTTTATTTTTAGCCTTTGCTTTCTGCACGTAAATGAAAGACTCTCATCTCTTTCCTTGGGGGGGAGGGGGTTGTTGCTCAGACTTCACGCACTTTACACTCAGACCAAATTGTTCCCCAGTGTGTCCTTTTCACAGGCTGATTGCTCCTACACTGACTTGGCTCATGTTCATTTGATCTCTTAACTTCTGATGCTGTTACCTCTGGTAATATAGTCTTGCTGGCAACTGAGTTTATACAAACGCCAGTGCTTCAAGGAAACCAAGGTCAGACAAGGCAGGGATCCCAGGAATTCTGCTTCACTGTTGCGGTGCACATTAACTAAATCAGGGAAGTTTGTCCAAAACTTTCATTGCCTTTTTTTAAGGACAAGATGTCTCTTGAGTCTCTGTCACATTTTCTACTTTTCTAGGGCTAAGCAACCATTGTTCCTTTCCCTCCTATAACTTCTACTTTGTTTGTTTTTCTTCTAGGTGCTTAAGGTTTGCCTAGAATTATATACAGAAAAAACAGCTGGAGATGAAGAAGCCACAAAGACAGGATTAAAGATTATCTCACTATGCATACTGCTTCATTGTGCAAAACTGTATTTGCCCAGCAGAGAAGCTGTCCTTTTGATACAAGCAGGGACATGTCACACAAAGTGCTCAGCTGGAGTGCCTTCCGGCAAGTAGCGTCACCTACCCAGGTAAAGAGAAAGGAACAAGGAAGGGGAGAAACAAATCCTTCCAAGCTTGCACTTTATTTAAATTAAAATCTAACTTGAGAATCAGATTGGATCACAAGGAAAAGTGATGAAATCTATGTAGGACTGATTGGCTTCTTTACCTATGCTAAAGAAGCATTGTTTTTCTTCTACTATAGATACCCCCAGAGATATGTCAGCTTTATTAATGAGCAATACATGAAGTTATTTTAATTTTTAGATCTGGACAAAAGTCATCATTTTGATTCTGGAAATGGGTCCAAAATTGCCTGTTAAAAGGATACTATAGACACAGGACTTTCTGTTGTACAGAATCCTATACCATGAAAGGAAAAACAGACTAGTTGTGCCACTCAGTTATCCATTTATCTTTTAAAAACACAATTCACCACACAGTATCTATTGCAAGACAGAAGACCTCCTTCTCTAACCTTATGAAAACAAGATACATAGCCAAGGACAAAGAATGATTTACTTCTATGATAGTCTATGCCAAGTACTGTCATAGCACATTATTTTATTGGGAACACAAGCATGACACGTTGCTACTTAATGACTGACTCTTTCTAGTTTGTGTAGTTAATTACCAACACATTAAAAGGATAAGAATTATTTTTATACTTAGTAATGGCTTTCCTCTTTGGCTCGAGCAAGCAAATGTGACATTAAAAACCTCTTTGTTTCTTCAGTGTTCTTTGGCTGTGTTTTCTGGACTTTGCAAAGTGAAAAAGATTAAATGACTGCTATTAACGGAATAGGTATTTCTTCTAAATAGTATCCCAAAATTACATAGGAAAGCTCCAAGGTTCATCAATGAAAAGAAAGATGCCTGCCAACAAAATGCACAAAGCTTACCTCATTTTGGCTGCCAGGGGAAAAAAACACCCTTATATTTTCCTCTTTAAAATTTATTTTAGTGATTCTGTCCCTTAGAACTATTCTCACCGAGAAATGAAACTTCAGTAGCTACATTTCTGGATAGAACCGGAAGACATGTGATTTATCTCACATTTCCTCAACAGGAAAAGTAGCTTCTTTGATCACATCCTGCTCTCTGCTCAGAGTTTTCTTAAAGATACAGAGCACTGCTGGGCCACAGATATCCCAAGCGCAACAGGCACAGCAGAAACAATTGCTCAAGCAAACTTAAACTGCTCAGTAGAACTAGCAGAGTCTTCCCAACCCTTTTACCAGAAATCAAAATATTCCAAGTAATATTTTTGTGCACAAACTATTTGGATACAGTTTGAACAACAGCAAAATGATTACTTAAGGACCATTCCTTTAAATCCTAAAATCATATAGGGTGTCTTTTCTTGAATGATTTTATTCTTAAATATATTGCTGGACTACTTCTCATCACTGTACATTTACTTTGGTCCCTGCAAAATAAACAAACCAGCTGATAGGATTGGACAAGGACCTCTCAGCAGTAGCTTGAGAAAGCACGTCAGAGAACTGTGCAGAGATGAGATAAGATATGCAGGTGAATAAGATGGTGAGATCTGCCCACGATTGCTGTTCACACTAGCTCCTATAATATATCCTTTTAGCTTAGAGGTCCCTTATTTTATATTACAACATTATAATGATAGGTACTGAAATGTCTGCAAGAAAACGATCAAGCTCAGACAGCACCAAGGAGCCCAATGCTATAATTATTTGTAATACACTACCATTTCAATTGCTCTTTTATTCAGTGTCTGCATTGTGCTGATTATGATTTTGTGGCATTACATTAGTGTCAATGATGTCTCTAGGAGGTTCCATCTTCAACTTGATCTTTGCTGCTGGTTGGTCATCATCTTCTTTTTCCTTCTATCTTTCCCATCTTTACAGGTTACTCCAGAGAGTTGGGACTTTACCTGAAATATGATAATTTATTCTGCTAATCTGTGCTTTGAGTGTGAATTCTGGGTTTTGATTGATGATGCATTTGTTTGTTTCCTTAACTGTCCATGGAATTCACAGGTGTCTTCTTCAATATCAAAGCATCAATATTCTTCCTATCCTGCTTCTTCAAAGTCCAATTTTCATTGTTGGTGGCCATATGCTGACATTGTAAACGATTAGAGAGAGTTGTAAAGCATTGTGGATCAGTATATAAATCTAAATGCTATTGCTATTTCATGGAGTGTCATAAGAACTATTGCTTGAATTATTTTCATTTTAGTAGGTACAAGTAGTCCTTGCTTAGCAACCACAATTGGGACCAGGAGCTCACTCACTAAGCTGTGCAGTCACTAAGTGGAAATCATACGACCCTGAGCCAACAGTGTGCAGCAGCAACCAAAAAACCCAATACAATCCTGGGTTGTATAAACAGAGGCATAGAATCAAGATCACGCGAAGTACTAGTACCACTTTACAAAGCCCTAGTAAGACCACACCTGGAATACTGCAGCCAATTTTGGTCACCATATCACAAAAAAGATGTTGAGAGTTTGGAAAAAATTCAGAGAAGAGCAACTAAAATAATCAAAGGCCCGGAGGCTAAAACATATGAAGAACAGCTGCGGGACTTGGGTTTGGATAGATAGTCTAAAGAAAAGAAGAACTAGGGGAGACATAATAGCAGTATTCCAGTATCTGAGAGGCTGCCACAGGCAGAAGGGGTCAGTTTGTTCACCAGAGCACCAGAGGGAAGGACAAGAAACAATGGTTGGAAACCGATCAAGGAGAGAAGCAACCTGGAATTAAGGAGAAACTTCCTGACAGCGAGGACAATCAAGCCCTAGAAATCGTGGGCGCTCCATCACTGGAGGTTTTTAAGAAATGACTAGACAATCACCTGTCCATGATGGTGAAGGTTCTCCTGCTTGAGCAGGGGGCTGGTCTAGAAGACCCCCAGGGTCCCTCCCAGCTATTCTATTCTATTCTATTCTATTCTATTCTATTCTATTCTATTCTATTCTATTCTATTCTATTCTACTCTATGCTACACTACTCTACTCTACTCTATTCTATTCTACATACAGTTTTATTTCTATTTTCTTCATAACTGCTTGTTGTAAGCCGATTGTGAAGCACATGAAGAGCTCTTATGTAACTACAGGACAGTGCAATGGTCATAAATGTGTACCAGACAGGAAGTGCCCAAATAGTGATCACATATCTTTAGGATGCTGTGATGGCCATAATTCCAAACTTTTGGAAAGTTTTTTGCTGCCTCTCTGACTCCGTTTAGGATCCAGCGGTTGCCATAGCTATTTCATGCACATTTGTGTTGTAGCTTTTTTCTTTTGAGTTAAACTTTTTCTTCAACTCTTCAAGGCAAAAGAACCTGCAGAAAGATTTTCTTTGTTTGTTTCCTTTCTTTCCTCTGTCCTTCAGTTTGGCAATCATTCATCAAGATAAGCAATTCATATACAGTATTTCTTCACCCTTTTTCTAGGCATGCAGTAAATTTAGTAAATTAAGTTGTTAAAAGGGATTGAGATTGGCCGGCAGAGGTGGAGAGTTGTTTCAGCACCTAAGGTGCGTTGCGTGCATGTGTGTAAAGATCAAGAAGTCTGTCTCTCCCAGCTTTTTTTTGTTTTCTTCACTGAAGAAATATGAGCTTCTGAGGACAGGAGGGAGAAGGTTAAGTGAGGGAAAGGTTGGGGAAGCTCATCCAGAAGCTGCAGCCTTTCCATGCATGCAGCTGGCCTCCCCTAAGCCCAGGAGAGATTACAGTCTCCTGATGGGCAGCTCGTTTGGTCTCATGTCAGAAATGCAGGAACTAGAAAGGGGATAATTATTAATTTAAATTTAAAAAGATTAAAAACTTTTATAAAAACATAAGATTTGTATAGTTCTAGCCCAGGGATAGGCAACCTCGGCTCTTTTATGACTCGTGGACTTCAACACTCAGAATTCCTGAATTCTGAATTCTGGGAGTTGAAGTCCACGAGTCATAAAAGAGCCAAGGTAACCTACCCCTGTTCTAGCCCAATGTCGAGCCATGTTGATAGCAGGGATATTTCTGACCAGAAAGTCATTCTGTGTGCATGTCGGTCCCAGAGGGCACTGTAAAAGATGGACAGTTGTTTGAATACTGCCACATTCACAGTAAATTTATTTATTTATTTATTTTCAAATATTTATATGCCGCCCGATCCCAAAGGACTCAGGGCGGCGTACAAAGTTAAAACAATCATAAAAACAATAAAATAATACAGTCATACCGCGAGTCCGATCATATCCCGGCCCCCCGGGGACATCAGCCCCAGGCCTGCTGGAACAGGAGAGTTTTAACGGCTTTCTTAAAGGCCGGCAGGGTGGGAGTAGTTCGAACCTCGGGGGGAAGTTGATTCCACCAGGTTGGAGCCACCACAGAAAAGGCCCTTCCCCGAGGGCCCGCCAGCCGACATTGTCTGGCCGACGGGACCTGAAGGAGGTCCAATCTATGGGACCTCACCGGTCTCTGGGAGCTGTGCGGCAGAATGCGGTCCTGTAAGTAACCTGGCCCTATGCCATGAAGGGCTTTGAAGGTGATAACCAACACCTTGAATTGCGTCCGGAGACCCACAGGAAGCCAGTGTAGCTCGCGGAGGATAGGTGACACGTGGGCGTACCTTGGCGCGCCCACAATCGCTCTCGCAGCTGCGTTCTGAACCAACTGCAGCCTCCGAACGCCCTTCAAGGGTAGCCCCATGTAGAGCGTGTTACAGTAATCCAGTCTTGAGGTGACAAGGGCATGAATGACTGTGAGTAAAGCCTCCCAGTCCAAATAAGGCCGCAACTGGTGCACTAGGCGAACCTGTGCAAAGATCCCCCTGGCCACAGCCGATAGATGTTGTTCCAAATTTAGCTGTGAGTCCAGGAGGACACCCAAGTTGCGTGCCTGCACTGAGGGAGGTAAATTTGCCCCCCCCCCAGGACTAAAGATGGACCATCCAGTTGGCCTTTGGGAGGCAAGACCCAGAGCCACTCGGTCTTGTCAGGGTTGAGCCTAAGCCTGTTCACCCCCATCCAGACCCTCACATCTTCCAGGCACCAGCACATCACGTCGACTGCTTCATTGAAAGGACATGGGGTGGAGATATATAATTGGGTATCATCCGCGTACTGATACCTCACCCCGTGTCGCCGATTGATCTCACCCAGCGGTTTCATGTAGATGTTAAAAAGGAGGGGGCACAGGACCGAGCCCTGAGGCACCCCATGATCGAGGCGCCTAGGGGTCGATCTCTGTCCACCCGCCAACACCGACTGCGACCTGTCAGAGAGGTAGGAGGAGAACCACCGCAATACGGTGCCGCCCACCCCCACCTCTCCGAGACGACGCAGAAGGATACCATGGGCGATGGTATCGAAAGCCGCTGAGAGGTCAAGAAGCACCAGGATAGAGGAATAACCCCTATCCCGGGCTCGCCAGAGGTCATCGGTCAGTGCGACCAAAGGAGTCTCAGTGCTGTAGCCGGGCCTGAAACCAGATTGAAAAGGGTCCAGATAACTGGTTTCATCCAAGGATCACAAGAGTTGAGACGCCACCACCTTCTCTACAACCTTCCCCACAAAGGGGAGGTTGGAGACGGGACGAAAGTTCTTCAAAACAGCTGGGTCCAGGGAAGGCTTCTTGAGGAGGGGCCTCACCACCGCTTCCTTTAAAGGTTGCGGGAAAGACCCCTCCATCCAGGAAGCATTGATTATCGCCTGGAGCCAGCCTCGTGTCACCTCCCTACTGGCAGAAACCAGCCAGGAGGGGCACGGGTCCAATAAACAGGTGGTGGCATTCATTGCCCTCACGGCCTTGTCCACTTCATCAGGGGTCACAGGCTCAAACTCGCTCCAGATAACATGACTAAGACCAGCCACTGGCAACTCAGCTGGCACTGCCCAGTCGGAGTCCAGGTCTCTCTGAATCTGAGCGATTTTGTCCGAAAGAAACTGAACAAACTCCTCAGCTCTCCCCTGCAAGGGTTCCTCCGCCTCCTTTAAGAAGGGAGCGGGTCACCCTAAACAAGGCGGCCGGGCGAGATTCTGCGGACGCAATAAGTGCGGAAAAGTGAACACGCTTTGCCGCCCTTATCGCCACTAAATAAGTCTTAAGATAGGCTCTTAATAGTGATCGGTCAGATTCAGAGTTACTGGCCCTCCAACGTCGCTCTAGACGTCTCTTGTGGCGCTTCATCTCCCGGAGCTCCTCAGTAAACCAAGGCGCCCTCCGGGGACCACCACCACAGAGAGGTCGCAAAGGCGCAATTCGATCCAGGGCCCCAGATGCTGCCTTATTCCAGACCGCAACCAGGGACCTGGACGAGTTGTGGACAAAGGAGTCAGGTATTTCCCCAAGCTCCTCCTGGAACCGATCTGGGTCCATTAGGCGCCTGGGGCGGAACCATCTAGTCGGCTCCCTCTCCCTGCGATGGCGGAGTGATGCTCTGAAGTCCAGCCTCAATAGGAAATGATCTGTCCATGACAAGGGCGAGATCTCTATTCCCCTTAATTCCAGATCATGTCTCCATTGCCCCGAGAGAAACACAAGGTCGAGTGTGTGACCACCCTATGAGTCGGATCCTGGATTACCTGGGTCAGGTCCATGGTTGCCATGGAAGCCATGAACTCCTGCGCCACCTCTGAGCGATCGCCGAGTGATGGTAGGTTAAAGTCCCCCAGTACTATAAGTCTGGGGAACTCCACCGCCAACCCGGCTACTGACTCCAGCAACGCAGGCAGGGCTGTTGCAACGCAGCTGGGAGGTAGGTACGTCAGCAGCAAGCCCAACTGAACCCGTGAACCCAACTTCAATAGGAGGGACTCACACCCAACAACCTCTGGGGCAGGAATCCCACGAGGGCTCAAGGACTTCCGAGCGATGACTGCCACTCCCCCACCCCTGCCCTGATGTCGAGGCTGATGAAGCACCACAAACCCGTCCGGGCACATCTCCAAGAGGGAAACACCCCCCTCAGGGCCCAGCCAGGTTTCAGTTATACATGTCAGGTCCGCCCCGCTGTCCAATATTAAATCACGGACAAGGGGGGCTTTGCTGACAACGGACCTGGCATTAAGCAACAGCACCCTACAATTAGGGCCCTGTACTCCCCTGTCACCAGTACTACAGGATGAGCCTTTTGAGGGGCCGGAACAAGGAATCGCTCTAACATAGCGAGTCCTCGTTCCCCAAAGATGGTCTGCCCCTCGGCTCCCGTCATATCTGCCCATCCCAGTCATGACCAGGATGCTCCGACCTTCTCCCCTCCCCGGAGTACCCCCACCCTCACCAGCCTTCTCCCTTCCTGACCGGACTCACTTTCCATACAGACCAAGCCCAAGGGTAAGTCCTGCCCCCCCTACTTTTGCTATTGCACTCAGCAGAGGGGGTACCAGGCTCCACCCCCGACTCTATCATTCTCATACCCCAAACACTCAATACACATTCACACTCAATTTATATACATAGAAAATAAAAATATTCACATTCATACGCCCTAAATACAATAATAAAATTTATACATAACAGGGCCACCATTTATCTACATGCATACTCACACCCACAACAAACATTCTCTAAAAATAGTATTGCCCCTCTGTGTCCCAGCCTGGTCTAATGTGGCCGGCTAGGTAATCATTAGGTACTTGTCTTGGGGCAGACCGTACTTGGCCTTATGCTCCTCAAAGAGCTGGGTCAACTTCTCCAAGCTGTTGCTGGCCGTCATCGCAACGGCGGCAATTGCCACCAAGGCAACGGGCGAAGGCACGCGGGGAACCCAGGTCACTGGAGAAGGCCCCGCTGCAGAGCCTGAGGAAAACGACGAGGCGGCGGCGGCGATGATAGCGGAGAAGGAAAAGGAAGCCACACACGGGGCAGTGAAGGTTGGCTGAGCGCCGGGCCGAATTGCCCAGGTGGGCTGCTGCGGCGAGGCCTGCCGCCACGGGGAAGGCTGTGGCTGCTGGTAGAGCAGGCCGGCACTCTCCAACGGCAGAAAGTCGGGCTGTGGGTCGCCGCCACGCGGGACGCGGGATATGCCGGGCAGCGGGGACGAGGCGGTGGCGGCCTCCAGGCACAGCGAAGCGGCCGAGGCGGCAGACGAAAGCCCTGCACAAACCCAGTTAGAAAACTGGCTAACCAGACCAAGCTTCAATGTGAAGGAAGCCATGAGGGTAAAAAAACGCTGGGCTGGGCTGGGCAGGGTAAGGCGGGGCAGCGGCAGCTGGAAAAGCCCTGGACGAGGTGCGCCCTGCCCTTTTCCTTGGCGAAGGTTGAAAAGTTTTCCTCTGCCCGGGAAGCTACCTGGCGGATAATCCTGCCAAGCGGGCGCCCTTGGGCCTCTTTCGCCGGTGGGGCGAAATTTAACAATTTATCAATTGATTGTGTGCTCAGAGGTTTTTCTGCTATTTTATTTCTGCCATTCTTCTGCTCCTGAAGAAGTTGAAGTTGTGCAGCATTTGGTTAAACAAAAACCTCTGAACTGATTTCACAGGCATCGATATGGAAATGATTTGATATTACTTTCTTCTAGATATTTTCTTTTTAACTTCCGAGTCCTGCGATATCTGGATTCAAGCCAGGGTAGCTTCAAGATATCAGCCAAGGCTGCCTAGAAGCTGCTCCCTACCTGGGACTCATTGGTGTAAGCTAATACGTTGGTGATCGTCTGGATTCCAGTTATCCAGTTATTCCAGATGATTACCGTCTGGATTCCAGTTATCTAGCATCGACACAAAGCCTGCCAAAAGGGGTAGCCTTCCGTAGCAGGCGTTCGGTGTAGAGAAGTATTAACTCTGCAAATCCAGTCCTGACTGCACCCCCTTCTCGATTTAGCCTGTAGAAACGGGGGTATTAGAGCGAAAGATAAAACTCTAGGCAGAAAGCCACAGCTTGACATTTACACAAACAACACTTTCACCTGCTTTTTCCCCTCACAAAGAGCGGGCAGGCCAACAAATATCCTTGTCTTCAAGCAGAAAACCCCCATTTCCCCACGTGGTCTTTAGCTCTAGCCAAACCAGTGGACAGTTTATTTAAACATCTCCAAAACATCCACTCCTCTTCTGAAACTCCAGGCAACTCCTCAAGCGGTTCTATCCAATTATGAAGAGGTTTAACTTGAAGTTTCCATCTCTTTAATGTTTCTTTTTGAGGTGTAGTAACAATCTCATTGGCGCAATCCAAAAAGCTCCTTCTTGATTTCAATCTTTTTGTGGGGGGAGGGGTACTTGGCTAAATAACGGGTGTGCCAGATCGCGTAACACCTTTCCACATCTCGTGCCACACTCCTTCTCACAGCCGCTGGGGCTATTCCTACCAAAGATATATAGTTTGGCCAGCTGATCAAGGCAGAAAGCTCCCAAAGGCAGCTGTCATTGCTGCAAAGAATTGTTGGAATTCTTTGCTGAAAATGGTGGCTGCTTCAAGGAGGCCTGAGGAAGAGGCCCAAGTGCTGCAGGGAAGGAGGAAGGAGGAGGAGAAGGAGGGGGTGGGGTTTGCTGCGGCCTGTGGCCCTGTGGTCAATTGTAAAGGTGAATGATTGCAGGGTGATGCAGCCACTGTAAGTGTGAAAAGAGGGTTGTAGGTATCTTTAGGAGAGTTTGTCATTACTTCAAATGACCATAAAATGACCAGTTCTATCTTGAAGACTACCTGCATACCTCTTAAAAATAGCAGAATAGTTGCAGAGTGCCAAAATGACCAAAATGACTTCATGGCTCTCTAACTCTCCAAGTGCAAATACGCAGCAAGCTGATGCAGCTTATTCTTTTAGCTTTATAGCTTTTGGTTTTAGAGCAGAATGTAGCTCCCACCTTTTCATCTTTTAAGACTACGGCTATTGTCCTTACAGCAGTGTTTCTCAACCTTGACCATTTTAAGGCATGTGGACTTCAACACCCAGAATTCCACAGCCAGCAATGCTGGCTGTGGAATTCTGGGAGTTGAAGTCCTCATGCCTTAAAATGGTCAAGGTTGAGAAACACTGCCTTACAGTGTTAAGACACACATGGCTTTTATGTTAGCGTGGTTAATTTCTCTTGCATTTTTACTTTAGATTGGTCAAAAGATTATCATCAGCATAAAAAGAAGCATATGTAGGTAATACAGGATATTTCCTTTCTAATTGCATGGGATTTTTACATTATGTGTACCTGAAATCAGATGAATATAGATCTTCAAAATCTGGGTCCATCTTGAATGGTTCAGGCTTGAAAGATGGAAGTGGCCTATAGCAACAAGAGTAAAAAGAAAACATTTTAAAAGATGTTCAAATATTAAATAAAAAAGTGTTTAAGTTGCCCTTTTCTAACAAAAAATGAGAAATGCCAGTGCTTTTTTTCTCACACACGTCATACAACCTGCCTTGCCTACCCTACAAGGTTCCATCCAAAAAAGGTGCTGGAACTCCGTTCTGGGCGTTCTATGAGAAAAAAAGCCCTGAGAAATGCTGTATACAACCAATAGTGCTTATATAACACATCCTAATAATGCTTAAGATGACTAACAACAGTCCTCAGAAGCAATTAAAGGGGGGGGGAAAAGACTTAATGGTATATTGGGAAGAAACAAGCATTGGTGAAATCCAGATTAATATCACTTGCATTGATTTACATCACTTTTATAATTGTGTAATTAATGTAAAAAGTGTTGTGTGCAGGAAAACCTGTTAAACAATAAATAAGTAAACAAAAAATCTCCACTGTATCTATCAAACTAAGACTTTATTTCATTGAAAGGAGGAGTGGCATACAACTGAGACACCTTAATGTGGATTATTGTACCGAAATTGATGGCCTAAATCCTAGTTTTCAATTCTGTGATTCTAAGATAAAGAGAATAAGTGACATCAGGTATTAAGCCAGGATCACTGACATAATAATTTGCAAAAATCTTCCTTGATGCCTATTCTTTTCACATTTTAAAATTTTAAATTGTGCTTCCTATAGTAATGTAGTAAAAAAGGTCTTATAAAGCAATGTTCCAGTTTCAAATAGAATTTCACTTACAGAAATTCTTGAGTCCCAACTAAGCTTTCTTTGAAAATAAAGTATACCCTTATTACGACAAAGAAAAGTAGGAAACTAGTGGGATGGCAGGTAACATTCTGGTAAATCTACAGTAAGGTCTGCAACTGGGCAAGTCTCCTCAATTGTCATTTTCTGAGAGCCCATGTAATCTATTCTCAAAAATCTCCACCAGCTCAAAAGAAATGGGGACCTTTGTACTTAGGTTTGTATGGATTGTGTGGGAAGATGCAGTCTGGAAAAGGGTTTGGATTCAGTACATACATGCTACTATGGGTGTCATATAATATAGCAATTGTGCTATGGGCCACATGAAAATTTCTTCTCGGCTCCAGTTCTGATATAAAGTAAGGGCATGGCATTATAACCAGAAATAAATGCAAATTGGCATAGTAGGTAAATTTAGGTCAGTATTTCTCAACTTTGGCAACTTTAAGTTGAGTGGACTTCAGCTCTCAAGAGTTCCCCAGCCAGTTTTATTTAGGCAAAGCCCGCAACTAGACCTGGCTATAACCGGTTCCACAGGGCCAAATCCAGGAGGACTGCCCCGTTTAACGCTTGTAGTTCAAACAGGAAGGAGTACTTTGAGCAAGTGTCCAGCACCATTTTCCAATTGGATGCCTGACTATTTTTTGGACTACAATTCCTCCATTCTCTGCAGGGAGCATATTAGAGAATTTTTTTTCCTGGAATGTGTTTTCTCTATAATTATGGCTTACCTTTGAAATCAGTCTTTTTAAATTTTTTTGGCCAGGTTCTCATCTGCTGCCAAATATGACCCAATTTGTTCTGTTTTTGAGACCCAAAGGTGCTTTTTCAAAAGACAACTAGACTTCCTTTGTTTTTCCTTTGGGACAACCATGACCTGGATTACTGAGAATCTCCATAGACATTTAGCTGTTTTTGGAAAGTTATCTTTGATAGGATAGGGCAGTATTTTTCAACTTTGGAAACTTTAAGATGTGTGAATTTCAACTTAAGAACTCTTCAGCCATTAAGCCAGGCTGGGGTTGCTGACTGAGGGATTCTGGGAACTGAAATCTACACATGTAGAAGTTGCCAGGGGACAGACAGATGAACAGACAGTAGTGCCAAGCTTATTATTTATTTATTATTTATTATTCTCTTGGGTTGGGAAAATGAACAAGATAAAACTGGCAAAAAGGCAGAACATGGAATTATGTTCTAACTTCGGTATCCTCTCTAGAATTTAAACAACCTCACAACACCCTAAACTTTGTGCAATCATTTCCAATCATACCTTTCCACGGAACAAATAAACTGATAATTTTTTTTAAAGAGGTCGGAGCAACAATAACGATTAGTGCAGGTTCCACAACAATATTCTAAGCAAGTCTGCTGTGGATGCCAAAGTCCATCAGAATCTGTGTAAGCCTCACAATGTTCAGAGGAATCTGAAAATTAATCAAAGCAAGAGGTTATTTTACCATATCATATTTAGCTTTGAAAAAATGACAGCCAAGAGGAATATGGATACATTCTTCATATATTTGAAATATCATGGCACAGCAGAAAATTAAGACGTATTTTGACATCTCAGATGGTAGGATACAAAATAATGGTATGAAGTTACAGGGAAACAGATTCCTGAGTTGAGCATTAGAAACAAATTATTAACTGAGTAAGAGCAATTTGTTGAGGGAGCTGTGCTTATTTATTAAATTTAAATAGCTGCCCATCTCACCAGAATTGACTTTGGGTGATGTCCAGACTGTTGCTATTGATGAATGTGTTTGGGCAGAGGTTGGAAACCATCTGTTTGAGATGTTTTCACTTAGATTTGTATATTCCACGAGGTTGGACTTCATTGCCAACCAATTCTATCAGTTACGCAACAAATGCTGGACATTTTCTAAGTGGATATGCTTATTCTTAACCTGTGGCCTGGCCCTGCGGAAAGAGTGAAGTACTGCTCCAGGTAAAACTGTGTGTTTCCTGATTATTACTTGTCTGCAGTCAGATAATGAAAGAGGAGTTCTGGGCAAATGATCTGAAGCTTATTCAAAGGAATACTTGCTAGTACAAAAAATATTTGAACCTAATATTTAAAGAAACCACTACCTTGTATTTTTAAATAAAATAAATAAAATTAAAATTAAATAAAAAACAGGAGAGAAATCAAACCAAACGCAAATAAGCAGTCAATTATCTATGAATAATATAATACATTTCACTTAAGGAGAGAAATGAAAGGAGCTCAGAGAATGGCAGGCAAAATGTGAAAAAGTTTTAAGATGCAATCTATTTCACAATGTTTTCAGTTACAGCAAAAAAATGAATCTCAAGAAACCTGAAAAAGAAAACAAAAAAAAGTTTTTCTACCACAGAAAAGGAAAGAACTTCTTTTACAAGATAGCGCCATTACATACATGCAACACAGAAAGATTTTTTTGCATTAACACAATTTCACTTGGGAATGGAGAAAGAAAGAAGCAGACAGATAGAGAAGTAATTACCTTCCCATATAACTTGTACACAGACTTTTGATCCTTGAAGGATCCAATGTGGTATGGCTCCTCCAACGTTGGAGGGGAGGAAGATGTGAGACCCCATCAATAGATGCTTGCAAGTGACCCTTGGCTGGGTATATCTGAAGTACTCCTGAACTAGAGGCACATACAGTTTAAATAGTACTTAAACACTTCTTTTTCTGATTCTGGATCAGATGAAGTTAGATGATTCTTCTAGGCTATAAAATCCAACTGTTTCAGAAACATAGGAAGATTGTGCTCCCAAAGTCTAACAAGGCAACATACTGGAGGGTTTAATTCAGTTCCTATAAAGCCCAGCAACTTCTCTGTGACTGTACTACAAATCCAACACAGTAGATGAACCTGGAGAACCAGCTTGGAATAATGGTTAAGACACTAGGCTTGAAACTAGGAGATTGTAAGTTCTAGTCCTGCCTTGGGCACAAAGCCAGCTTGGTGATCTTGGGCTAGTCACTTTTTCTAAACCTTAGGAAGGAGGCGATGGCAAGCTACTTCTGAAAACCCTTGCCAAGAAAACTGCAGGGAGTTTTTCAGATAATCTCAGTCGAGAAGGACTTGATTGAGAAGAACAAAAAAAGATGGCCTTCACAGGCCTCTCATAGCTTCAGGGTCAATGGCTGGGATCGGGTATAGTCCATGATGGAGTGTCTGGCTACAGATGGCCTAAACTAAGTTCTCTCCCCCCAGATAAAGAGAATGTGGGCAAGTGAGCGGGGAAAGCTCTCTTCTGATTTCTGGAGAAGATAAGGAGAGATGGGGTTTCTTTCTCCTTTTATAGGAATTTCTGCCCTGAGGAATAAGTACTGCGAACTTAGGTAGTCCTGATAAATCGCTAACAAAATAGATGGTCAAGACTAACAAAAGATAGACAAAAAAAGGGGAAAGGTTGGATGAGCTGTCTGGTTTGGCTTAATCGCTTTCCTCTTTAGCCTTAACAAAACAGTTGTGACCAGATTGATGGCCTTGAAAAAATTGTCCAGACTCCTTTTGATTACTAAGCTAAGTCCCAAGAAAACCCAAAGAGTCATTGGGCTTATGCCTTTGATCAACAAAAGGAATGACCAAGGAATTGTTCATGCCTCTGGCAATATTGCCTTCCTAGATTTGCCATTGTTTTACCAAGGCCTAGCAATCAGCCATGCCAATGGAAAGTGATCTTCTCAATCTCAGTTTGGAAAAGTTTACCCTTGGGTCTTTTAAAAAATGTAAGTTTTAAAGAAAAAGAATTGCTGTACATAGAACTTTGCTCTGTTCACAGGAGTTATAGAAGGGATTAGTAAAAGTTACCCCACTTTTCCAAACTAAAAATATCTGCCAGGCACCTTGTACATAAGGGTATCGATTTGATTGTGGAATGGAACTCTTTCCTGCAATTAGCACTTTTGGCCTATTGGTTTACCATAAAGTTGCAATGGATAGTATAATTTAAAGGGGAAATAAGAACTTTCCATATGAATCTTACCTGTTCTTGCCTATCAACACAGAAAAGATTGAACTGCTTTATTCCTATTTTGCACTTCTCTTTTCAAAAAAAAGGAAAAAAGTGATCCAACTTGTCAATCGCCATGGTTTGGAGGTTGAGGGAATGGGCAGAAGAGAAATGCAGGTAAAAATAGGCAAGCAATAGTTCTACCCTAGGCTGTGCTAGTAATAATCCTAACTGGAATACATGCCCAGTTCTGGTCCCCACAATAAAAGAAAAATTGCTAAGGAACTGGAAAGAGTACAGAGAACAGCAACAAAGATAGATAAGATAACCTTTATTGTCATTTTTTACTGTGGGCACACTAGCACACATTAAAAATGAAATTATGTTGCCTGCTACCAAAAGTTTACACATACATAACACACATAGAAGCATGCTATGTACATACATATGTATATACCTACACCCTTATATATAAGTAACATATAAATATTAATCACTGTCCATCTTGAATACATAGCGGAAATATGAAGCTTGAGTGTTCACAAGGTTGATACTGTATGGAACAAAACTGTGACTGAATCTGGATGTTCTGCTTCGGATACCACAAAGCCTCCTCCCAGAAGATAACAAGGAAAACAGGTCATGGAGAGGTTGTGTAGTGTCCCAGACAATCCTGCTCAAGCAACACTTATATGATGGTGAAGGGAACTGGAAGAATATTTTGGACATACATAAACCAAGGGCTACTAAAACCAGGAAGAATCTATGGTTCAATGAGGTGGAACTTCCTTGCAAACTTGCTTTTTAATCAACATGTCAGATATTGAATCTAATGAACTATATTAAGTCTAACAAAGTACATATAGTCCAGCTGAATGCACAGGTTATGTAGAAATTCAACATGCTAAGGTGGACAAAAACAATAATATACCAAAGATGACGAGAAGATCAAAACAGGACTGATGGATAAAAAATACCAACAGCCTAACAAGAATTTCTATGTTCAAGAACAGCCAAAGATCTAGATCTCTCTCAAAATTGTAATGTAACAATATTTTGTGACAAGATTGATGAAAACCAGCTGTTCAGAGCCCGATACTTTTAGGTGAGAAAGTAGAATTTAGCAAAGTTAACTGTATGTATATGTGGGTGCAGCATATGAGGATATGAATATTTTGCTTGTTATTTTTAGCTTGCTACTTCTCTCACTATCTTTTGTAGCCTGGGACATTTTTCTGGACTGCAGAAGGCTCTAATTCTGACCAAACTAATTATAGTAGGACTAGTGATTAAAGCAGATCTTTTTTCATATTTATCCACTACCCTAAAATAGGGAGCTGCTTTAAGGAGTTGAAATGCCTCTTAAAGCAACCTCAACTTGTTTTTAGGTTCACATGCAGGCCTGCAAAAAGAAGGGATATTTAATAATAAGAGAGAGGTGCTATGTTCATATGATGTCTGAAGTAATTCTCCTGAATTGTTATAGAAGCACACACAGCTCTAGAATATCCAAAAGATGCATTATAAAACTTTACTGACAGTCAAACATATGCTGTACTGACTGCCTGAAGGATTTAATAGCAGCAGCAAGAGCAAATGTTCTGGCTAAATTTTGGAGACCTGCAAGTTAAGGATTTTCCCATTTAGACTGTCACTTCTCTTTAGTATTTAAGCAGCTCTTGTCTTAATATCTAGGGAAATCCTCTGGCACAAGTGTAATGCATTTATCTGTTGCCTGCTTATTAATGTTTAAAGTTTTAAAGTTTTTATATTCTTGTTTTTATGATGCTGTAAGCTGCCCAGATTTGACAGTGAGATGTGCAGCATATATATTTAATAAACAAACACAAGATAACATTAACCTGAGTGTAAATGAAGTGCAGCAAAACGTATTCAGAAACAGTCCCTAGAAAAGGAGTTAAATAAGAAAACATCCTTGTCCCACTATTCAAGTGTTTATCAAGTCAATAGTTAGGAATTTAACTCAAGAACTTGCAGCAAAACTGCTAAATACAGTTGATGCAGTAGTTCTTCATGGATACCCAGTAGATCTAAGAAGAGAAATGAAAGCTTTGACCCGTTTCTATAAGTCTAACTTTGAGATAAGCACTTTGTAAAAAAATTAAGATATTAGTCCATGGCTTGGAATATGAAGGCATGTGGCATTCAATAAGTGGAATGCTCCAAATATTTAGGTTCTGATTTAATTGACAGGAAGGGAAATGTCTAAACAGACACCCCTCTAGAACTTAGCCCATGCACCTAAAAAAGCTAATCCATTATCACTTTACTTTTCCATATTTACGGAACGTCTTTCAGCAACTCTAAAATCTGAGACCACAGCACTGATATAATCTGTAGGATTCAGCTAAATCCCTATCTTATATTTTCTAAATTTACATCAATTCAAATTTTCTGAGAAAATTGCTTGATGTTGATTGGTTTCTCTATAATGCAGCACTCCACACAGAAG